AAAATCGCATAACAGCCGAGCATACACCCAGCAGCGCTGCTGATGCCTGAACGGTATGTGGAATGAAGTGGGAGGGCATCGGGAGGCCACTATGGCACGGGGCAAGCACTATGGGCAGTCTATCTGAAGTGTACCTGGCGTATAAGACGACCCCCCACTTGGAGGCATATTTTTCAGGGCCAAAAAATAATCTTATACGCCGGCAAATACGGTACTACAAGTAAGGGGTGGTTACAAAGATTCAGGAGTAGGTCTGGCATTGTATTATCTCACATCATGACAAGAAGGGGATTGGGAGTAGGTGGATGCTGTACAGACACGCTCCCAGGACCAAACTGGAATTACCACTAAAACAGAGTAAAACTTCTTGAATAATCAACTGAAGACTCACTGGAGAGAACCCTGATAAGCTCCCAGGACCAAACTGGAATTACCACTAAAACAGAGTAAAACTTCTTGAAAATCAACTGAAGACTCACTGGAGAGAACCCTGATAAGAGGACAGAAAGTGGAGAGCATAGGTGGCCATGAGACCCTTCACAAAAGGAGTACTGAAAGGATGAATGGAACAGACGGACAAACAGCCAGAAAGATGGTTTTGAACCAAAAATGTAAGGCCGTATCTAGCCTTTCTGGCTCAAACTACCTCAAAGGTCAAGCGGCCAGGTCCCCATGACTGTACTAACCTTCAGGGAAAGTCACACCCTGCTGTTCCTTCAGTGTTTCCTTTTATTGGCCTTCATTGTAGAAGATTTTCACATACTACAGGACACTAACTACTGTCCTGATCTACCGTCCTTGAGTTCACCCTAACACCCGACACTTTTCCAAATACCTGACTCAAGAACCTCTATCACCTGCTCTTCTGCTAAATACAAGAACAAAGACAAGGGGTATTGAAGTACTGCTTTCCCTCCAGGCTTCTAGCTTCCCCTACCTCTGAAAACATCTTTTGTCAATTGAACACTGGCCTCTGTGAAATGAACTGTCCCTAATGAAATGAACAGGACCCCAACTTTTAAAGGGCATGCATTATGAAAGCAACGTCTAGTTTCAGTATGCACATAGGTCATGTATAATTGAAGGTCAGCTATGATGCAGGCCAAAGTGAACAGAAAAAGTGGGGAATCATATCCACACATCTCTCATCCATCTGGCAGGCAGCAAAGGAGGATGTGGGGCTTGCAGTGGCTGTGGATGAGGATTCGGGATCTCTACTTTTGGCTTCCTCGGCAGAGTTCCTAGTTTTTGCCTGCTGGGTGCTCTAAGGAAAATGGCTTATCCAGGACAAGCACTGGCCCTGCAGTTAGGGACTATGTGAATACTGCTCAGGATAGAGCTCTTTCACCTTTTAAGAGATCTGCAAACAGGTCCATTGTACCATATGGCATCTAAAGAAACAGATTTTCAGGCTCTTCTCTTCTCTTCTGTGCTGTGGCTAAAGACTTCCTAGTACCCACATCCACGTTACTCTGGTCTGCCTGTCCCCCAACTCAGAAGCCACTGTTTAGTCTGGGAGTGGAAGTATGAGGCTAAAAGCTCTACAAATAGACTGTTGCTATCAATCCACTTCAATACACAGTGATCTCCAGGCTGCTGTCAACTTATGCCTCTCCTACCACATCCTAATCTCCATTTAAAACCTGGTTTTTAAAAGTCAATTATTCAAAAAATTAATTCCTTTGA